CGTTGACCTCAGGGCCAAGGTCGCCAACGAAGATCGAGTACTCGGGACCACGATCGTCGCGGCGGTCGTTGATGCCGCCACCGGAAGCCCAGTTGAGCTTGAAGGCGCGGTTGGAGTTGGGGACGGGGGATCCGTTCAGGGTGAGGGCCTTGCTGGCGGCCTCGGACGAGGTGAACTCGACGAAGCAGTAACCGGCATTGCCCGAAGTCTTGTCACGAATGACCTTGACGTTGACGGGTTCTCCGGTGGCGGTCAAGAAGACACCCTTGATGAAGTTCTCATCCATCCAGGGCTCGAGCTCGCCCATCCTGTCTTGTGTTAGTCCAAGCTAGAATGCAAATCTGGATGGTCACGTACCAGAGAGTGTTCTTATTCGCGTCCTGCTGGATGGGGGCCTGGCCGCCCGGGATCTCTCCGGAACCATTGTTGCCGGGGAAGGGCATGCCGCCGGAGACGGGAGTACCGAAGCCATCGCCGTTAGCGTTGGGAGGGGGGGCACCGTTGCCCTGAGCGGGGTTGTAGGGGTTGATTCCGTCCATTTTGGTGGTAGGATAGTAGTGACAAGTTCAGAACTGTAGCTGTCCGCTTTCAAAAATGGTTGATGGTTTCGAGAATCGAATCAGAACAGCCTGTTTTAAGACGCAAAACCTGTACTCCGAAGGGAACTTGGTAAAAAGTCGATTCTCTCTGACGCCTGCACGCCCCGTTGTGAAAACGAAAAATCGAGATGTCGCGGGATGTTCGTGCAAAAATGCTTTAGCCGCCGACTCAAAGAACCGAGCAATGCTTCAAATTCGACTTTTAGGTCTGTTTCGCCGTGGCCAACGTGAACTTTGAACGGTTCGAGAAAAGGTCAGAGGAAGAATCCGAAATGATTGGACCTGACTAGGGTTAGCGTTCAGATGTACACATGTCATCCTGTCAGCTCGTTGTGACAGTTGCATTCACAATCGCATTCGCAGTCACTCCGCAGTTGCTCGTCCAGAAGCTGTGCCCGCAGGAATCATCGTGGGTGGTGGTTGAGAGCGCAGCACATGCGGCATGTGTCCAATGCCAGTCAAATTGGTACCGTGGCAGGGACGTCCCAGACAATCCTTCGCAAACGGACACCTGAGGGCAGGTATGGTGTAGAGAGCTTGCAAGCCCTTCAGTCGCATACCTGCTTGCAGTTGAGGTGTAGCAAGCTTTGAGAGGGCGGTGGCCGGGCAGCTTGTGAGGCAATTGACGGAGGTCATCTGACCGTCTGCCTTTCGCGAGACACGTCATCTTCTCAGCAATGACAGGCCTTGGTGACACAAGACCAGATATTGCCATCTAGCCTGGTGCTTTTTCCTGTCCTCGGTGTGTGATGCGCTGCGAATCCAATCTTCGCCCTCTCCAGTGTGTTGCGGCATTTCGGCTAGGCGTTGGGCTTCATGACGAGAGAACCGTGCCATACGTCAAGCCGATATTGCAGAAGTTCGTGACGAGGCCTTCCTTCCTTCTCCATGGCCAAAAGAAGCTGCGAACACGGCGCGGCGGGTGAGGTAAGACGGGACTTGCGGATATTTTGGGTGCGGGGGTGAGGAAGAGCCGGTTGCTGATGGTGCATATTTCGTTTTCCCGGGCGTCTGACGGTGACGACTCGTTGCACGACACGTCGAGGCTGAATGGCTTCGGCATTTGGTTGTCGATCTTCAAGCGCGATCCGGGATGATCCACGATGCATGGAGGGGTTCGATGATGCGCCCAGAACTGCAATTCCATCTTTTCTCCGACCAACATCCTCCAGAATCGCTCTTGGGGTCAATTCGAGGCGAGCAACGTCGAGGTACTCAGCAGAGGATTGCCGAGGATGCCGAAGGCCGGATGGTCGGACACGAGCGTTCGATTTGCGACTGCGGCTGCGGTTGCGGATGCGACTGCGAGAATGCGACGGAGGAGGGGAAGAGGAGTAAAGGCAGAGAGAGAGGTAGGAAGAACCAGTGAGGCAGAGATAGAGAGCATTGATTACTTACTTTTGGGCGCCAACGAAAAGAGTCTTTTTCCGGATGACCAGGAAGAAACGTCGTGCGACTCGTAAGGAGGGTGGGTGAGAGTGGTGAGGAGGAAGAATTACAGAGTAATTTTCGTGTCGAGGGAGGAATTTGGGAATGGGGGGGTTAAACGACGTGGGAGGAACCGGACAAGGAAGTTGCGCGAAGAGATTTTTTTTTTTTCGCAGCTGGTGAAGGCCGTGGATCTCGCTCTAGTCAGTGGTGACGTGAGGTGGACAAAAAACGCGGCAGCTGGAGCAGCACGGATTTCTTTTGCAACAACCAAGACAATCGCTGAAAAGGATGCTTCGATTTTTTAGCAAAACCCGCAGAGCAACGCAGAGGAGCAGAGCAGATCGCAGAGAGCAGACAGAGAGACGACAGAAGAGGCAGAGAGAGGTGCAACTCTAAAGAAAGAGGAAGAAGGAGAAATGGACGATGATGGGGGTAGAGGGGGGAGTGGGAAGAAGAAGGAACCAAGGGAAGGGAAAGTGGAAGGAAAAGGAAGAGACCACCAGCCAGAGACTCACGCACGCCAAACGGGGTACCTAGGCAAGTACCTTCCTTACTCACTAGCAATGGAGGACGCAGGTGCAGGCGCAGGCGCAGGCTCGAGACGTAGAATGTGGACTTTTGGGCGAGGGGGAAAGGGAAAGCACGACCTGAACTCTAGGGGTGAGAGGGGGTGTGCGAGGCGGAAGGAAGACAGGCAGGTACCTTCCTGGGTATTGATCTAGTATGTGCGTGTGTGCGCAAGAACCTAAGGTTGTGTGTGTCCATATGTGTGTGTGTGTGTGGGTGTGGAAGGAACCTTGGGCCCTTAGGGTGAGGTGAGCTAAGGTACCTTACCACATACTTGGCTATTCTCTCTGTCTGTTTCTCCCGTTTCTTCCGTCTCTGTTTTGCGTGTCTCCGATGCTGTTGCTGGGGACGGCAAGTGCTTGTGTCCGGTACCTAAGGCAGCTAGAAGTATGGGATGTCTGTGTGCATGTGGTGCTGTGCGTGCCTCCTCCCCAGCTCTTCGGAGCAAGCAGGGCAAGGTATCTCTTACCTTAGCTTAGCTCTACTTTTTACAAGGTACCGGTGGGAGAAGGTAGGTACTTTTACCAAAGGTAGGTAGGGAAGGTATGGAGTCGAGGTTGAAGTGCCTTCCAGGTTGAAAGTTGAGCGCAGGTGGAGCATCAGCAGACGAGCCTGTTTCCTTACGTACCTACCTCAACTTAAGCCGCACTTTACTGTGTGTGTACTAGCCGGGTGCATCTCAGCAAGCAAGCGCACCGGGTCAATCCAGGTCAGCCGCAGCAAAATAGAACCTAAGAGGCTCAGACTCCAAATCGACGAAGCAGCAAAGTGGGCAAGTCTCCATTGGCCATGAGTCCATGGAGGGTTGGTGTGGGTCTGGTGTCGGTGCTGATGCCGTGCGCTGGAGTTGGGGGAGCCGTGGCTGCCACCAGCGAGCTTTAATAGAACGCCGGCAACAGGCGGACTGGCATCGCGTTTTTCAGGTCAGGTACGTCGTGCATCTACGGAAACAGCACGAGGCGCCCCAATGTGTTTGTTTTTCTCTCTTGGTTTACCCCTGCCTCCATGTTGAAGTCGTCAGCGAGATTTTACTCCAGGACATTGGATATATCGATGACAGTTTGTGGTGAGGCAAGTACTCTCAGGGCTGGCCTGGGGCATCCACCTCGTGACTCCGAGGCCAGATTACCGAATGAGAAATAGGGTGTCGTGTGTGGGAAGGAATGAAAGGAAGGAAGCCGACAGGTACGGAATACAAGCAAAGGTGCAGGTGCAGCTGACAGCCCTCGCGGCAAGTGACAACCGACTTTCCTCGCGACACTTTGATTCTGCCCTGGAAAGGAGTTTGCGCTTCCCGTGTTCTTTCCACCTGGCCGGATAATATTCAATTCGATATAACTTTACGGAGCATCGATGCAATAGGTAATAAGCTCTTTCCGTCCGTCCGTTCATGCCCAATTGATAATGGATTGGCGCGTGCTCTGTCTCTTTCTACCCTGACCCGGGAAAAGAACGAATGAAGAGCGCCCCAATCCAATCCGGCCCAGCTTGTCCAGGTTTTTTGCACCTTGCAAATGGCAACTGTACGAAAAGGCAATGTCCGGGACTATGGGCAGCAGAGACTCAACCTCGGAGGCTCAGGTTGGCCCGGTCACTGGCGGCGTCAACGTGGACTTGCCCTGACAGGAAAGGCATCCCGGCTCCTGCCCTCGCGTCCCCCCATCTGCCTGAAAACCTTGTTGCTGCTCATGGGCTCCATCTTTTGCATCCTTTTTTGGCTCCGTGACTCCGTCCGGTTTCTTTCGTGGACCTATTCCGCTTCCCATGCGTCTTTGTATCTTTTCCTCCCAGCTGCATGCCGTACCGCATCCGCAAGATGTAGATCGCCCCAAGGCCAGACGACAGAGAAAAAAGACTTTCAGTCACTTCTGATGCATGCCGCCGGCCATAGCCAATCTACGATCTTGCACCAAAACGACGGTACCTTAGGCCTCATTAGGGCGAGGTAGGGCAATCCTCCGGGCAGATCATACGGGGGCGGGAGAGACACGCTAAGCGCAAAACGCAGTTGCCCTACGTTGACGCCTCGTCTCGCCTGCCTTACCTTGCCGTGCTTGCCTTAGCTGGAGGGGAGCTCACGGCGCGAATCCCAGTACGTACCGGATCAAGACGCGAAATGGCGTCACGCAAAAAGGGAGGAGCAGGGGGGTCCGCCGGATTAGGGAGGGGCTCTTTTCTTGACCCTGCAGCCAGGTGTCGCCTTATCCCCGATGCCTCACCTCAAAATCGGGAGGAAGGCACGAAGGTACCTATCTTACCACGGGTACTTCGATATCACAGTTTGATACGGCAGTGAGTTTTCGATCAACCTAGTATCTACGCAACATGCAATACCCAGTCTGCCAGAAATCCATTCTCAACAGATAGGTAATACCTCATCATCACATCAATCAACCTTTTCAAATGCAGCCACCTTGGTATATTGGCCTCAGTAGTCTTACTCAAGACAAGTCATCTCTCCACCTTCACGGTCGTCGGAAGCCCCAACCACACCAGCCACAGCAACAGGAATGCGAGCTGTTCTTACTTCACCTTCACTGCGAGCCTCGAGGACAATCATCCCAGGCTTTGCTTGCTTTTCCGGTTGAGGCCATGCGAATTCACTCGCTACTCGCACCGCATCCAGCCGGACTCGAGCAACGTCGGCCCGGCAATGGTTCGCTTGAAATGCGCCGGCTCAGTCCCTCATTCCAGATGCCGCTCACCGATCGGGCCCTTCCCGCTCGCATGTCTCTCCATAATCAGCCGCTGGCCGCTGGACGAGCACGAACGACGAGATGGCGGATGCGACAAACACCAAAGAGCGAGCCGCATACAAGACATGGGCCTCCTTTCATTTCTTTTTCCCCGTCGCTGACTTCCTCCACGGAAACCTCCTCGACAACTTCTACATGCGCCAGCCGATGTTAGTCTTCGACGCGTGTTGACTCGCCCCCCCCCCCCCCCTTCCCTTCGAACATGTCCCAGAGCCAGCGGGACATGTCGTGATATTAACCTTTGCCGCAGCTGTCTTCGAGCCTTAACTCGCTAACCGATTGTGCGCGCACCATGTTTCGAAACAGTTCGACGGTGTCAGTTTCTGCTCCGATCCAAGGACAGTCCTCGCTCTTGGCCACCCGTTCGCTCCCCCAACAGTGCAGAACACTCGAGCTTCTTCTGTCTGTGCAGCTGCCGCACGACCGCCCTCATCAATATCGAGGAAGCCATTCTACAGTTTTGTACATAGTTCCAATTACCACTTCTAGCAACGAGATCAACAAGTAATGCGCCAGAGTATGCTGTTTGCACACGGTGGACTTGGTATTCGTGGCCTGCGACTATCTCCTCCCAACTCGTCACGACAGACAGCTAGTATGACCGTCACCGAAGATGCCGGCCGAGTAGGAATCCTGGCCGACCGGCTAACCTTGACCACGAAAAGACACGTCAAAAGGCTCTGATATCGGCAAGTCATGGCTGCCTTGCCTTCCTTGGTACCCCCGTCCGGGAGATGGTCGAATAGCAGCGTTGACGTTGCACGGTACTTGCGCCGCACTTTACGCGATCCTCGTCCTCTGAACAGGTCACCCCTGGCTTACGGGTGACGTTGGCAGAGGCATTGATTAATTGTTCGTCTACGGATACCGCAGTCGTCAACCCCGAAAGCCGCAGCGGCCAGGACGGCCCATCCTTACGAAATCTGGTTAAAGTGCTGTCTCCGCGCCTCATTGACACGCTGGCACTCCGGCAGCTAAGGCACGCGTCTCCTTGTCCGGGGCGGACGGCTATGAGGTTCAACAAGGAGCCGAAGCCTCGGGATCTGGGCATCGTCCGCCGCTGTGCCGCATCCACCCTGTCGGCTAATTGCCCGAGCGATGCCCAGTGGTGATAATTTTACGACTTCGAATGGGCTGAGAGTACACCGCGCATCCGCCATGGATACTATTCAGGATTGTCCATATTACGGATTCAATCTTATTCGGATCGCTCAAGTTCTCATGTATGTAAAGGGCCGAAGCTGTCGTCGGGCTTGCAGCTTTTGCACAGCACCCAGTAGCACCCAGCACGACTCGCATGACGGTGAATTTCGGGTCTCCGTCGCATGCCGACTGACGCTTATTGGGTACATCAATCATTGGCTTGACAGTATTTTTTTGCCCTGAGAAATGAAATCATCGGTCGGACCAGGGTGGAAGGGGGTGGCCGCATGAAGGAGAGTTCCCACTGCTACCGTGGATCGAGGTGTGGGAAGAGTTAGATCTCTGGATTTTCTAGCCCTTCTCTCTCACTGGTCGCTGCCTCGACGCGCCATGTGGCCCGGCCTCACTCAGAGATGCTGTGGGCTTGGATTGGTGGTGAGTTCAAATGACTCCCTTTCCCTCCTTCATTCCTACTCGTGGGCATTGGTATGCTATGCGGCAGCTGTCCATGTAAATTACCCTGTAGGTCTCGGCCGATAATAGGCATCAAGTATCGCCCGCCAATTGATACCTTAGTCTGCCGTTGCGTGCTCCCGCGGCTCAAGTTGGAGCATGATTCAGCTCGCACTAGCAATCTCCGGTGCAACTCTTGAGCACTCGTCTTCTCGAGCCGATTGACGGCACCGTCCCCTATCGTTCGCGCAGGTCAGCCAGCTCACGGACGCAAACCTGGAACCTCTCGCTCAATGTCCATCTCTCCACACTGGTCGTCAAAAGAGCCTTCCTCAGCAAATGCTCAGTGTACGCCCCGAAAAGAGCATCGGTATGAAAGGGGCATCAACATATCCCTGCCCGCCGTCGTGACCATTTCTGCGACGCATCAACGATCATACGAAGACTCGTCTGGCACCAAGGAAAAAAATTGTCGTTCCATGTACATCATGTCCGTGGAGGGCATTAGTCTCGATGCTAGCCCCAGTTGGTGTATTCCTTCTGGCAGCAGTGACTTGCGTCCTCATCAGCATGAAGACTAGCAGGGTTCGGCATGTCTCAACCGCATGTTGTCGCGACGAATCATCAAGGGGCTTTTGCAATTCCACCAGGTCGTGAATGCATCTTCTCCCTCATCAGGACACGTATAGCAGCATCGTGACCTGCGCACACATCCTCTGGCAGGTAGGACTGGCGCGGGTGGGTGAGACGTGCAGCTTGTTCCTCAGAGTACCCCCTCAGTGGCTCAAACCACATTAATTGACGAAGGGGCTTCTTCTCGAAGCCAAGCTGACAGGCACCTAGCTCCTCAACCGGACGTATAGGTATTACCGTATTTCGTCTGATGATCCAGGGTCACATAGCCTGCAGACCACAAAGTACAGACTGCGAAGAAGCAATTTCCCTCCCTTTCTCGCACCCTTCAGTTGCGTTCCCCAGCTTTTGGAGGGGTCTAGGTACAGACTTGAGACCTTCGATCAGCGACTTCGTGCATACCACAGATAGGCCGGCGCTCTCTGCCTCGTCTAATTCTTACGCTACATGGCTCCCTCGGTACCGGGCTAATTAGTCCGCAAACACATGGCCCCGGCGCCCACGGATTCAGTTCCTCATACCTAAGCCCAGGAAGCTGAAGGGCCCAGGAATAACTCGTCGTAGGACTTACGCCCTGACGTTGAGGCACCAGGAGCCTGCCAACTCGCATTTATTTGCGCAGAACGAACTGGCTTCACTTTTTGAACTCATCTACCATTGCTTTCGTCTATGGTACCCGACAGGGTGTATGTCTAATAAATTGGTGAGCGACAACCTTCCCCCTTGACTCGCGTACCCAATTCTTGGTCTCAGTCTTGGGCGGAACCTGAGGTACTGGTCGTACTCTTGCTTCTTTCCATCCCTCTCCGGCTACCCGGCCATTGCGCTCAGGCAATGCAGCGGATACCACTGCTGACTGCCCAAGACGACATCGTAGCATCCAGTTGCGGCGCTTTGAATGGCAATATCGATGCCAGCTTTTTGCATCAGTCAGGGGAGCAGGCTTCTAGGTTCCTACGTAGGTACAGGAGGAGTTGGGATGGACTCGTTTGATTTTTTCCAACGAGTTTAGGAACTAGTCGCAACGTTGAGTGTCGTTTGCAACTCGCCAAAGTGGCTCGTCGCAACCTCGCCCGTCATGAACCATGGAATATGGAGCTCATCGACTCGGCAATCTGCCATGGATTGAATCTTCGTCCTCAGATGGTTTGGGGGCCTGATGACACAATGGTCACGCCGTCGCCCAACTTCTCTTCTCCCTAATCAGCTTCAAAACAAAAGAAAATGGTAGGTTGAAGTGCGTACGGGATACCGATATAGGGTTGGCTTGCAAGCCTGGTAAAGCCTGGAAAATCCGTACCTTCCAAATCGCAAACTTTAAAAATGAGTTTCGGAACAGGAGCTAGTTGAGAAGTAGCGTCTTCGATTAAGTGTGGGTGTGTGGGAGTATCGATGTGATGTGATTAGGTACAGGAAGACTTTGTCATGTGAAGCTGACTCTTCCCATGTTGCGGGGATGGTTTGGCGAGAGGGGAAGGGAAGGGGGGAAGATGCAGTGTGATATCAGAAGGACAGATGTGAGTCCTTTTTGAGTTTCTCCTACAGCTACCAATGAGGCTTCTCCAATGGCACTCCGCGTTGGTGAGGTGGTGAAGGTGTGCTGGGATCATCTCTGTAGAGTTGTAGGATTCTCGCGGTTTCGCTGTGTGCGTTTGCTGCATGACAAAGTGGTGAATCGATAGTCGATGTTCGTATTTAGGCCGATCTCGGATCGGTCTTGGTAGGATTGGAGAAGTGATGGGGTATGGCAGACAGGTAGGTAGGTAGACAACGTTGACGCGTCGATGTTGTACTCTGTGGTAGGTTGTAATCTTCCCCCGGGGCCCCGGAGCGGGCGCGCTTAGCGGGCGACGGTACCTTACGCCGGCCGCACGGCGCGCGTTCCATCAGCGAATGCTGTGTCCAAGTCGTATCTTTGCCCAAACTGCCGCCAGACTAAATTCTCACTAGGTTTGACAAGCGGTTATCGTTTAGCCGGCTGGAAAGGGGGGAAAGAAAGGCTTCCTTGATGGTTTGAATGTGCATTTGAGGCCCCTAGTGTCGAATTCTGAGTAGTTAGATGATCTTCCGGGCAAAAGTCAATCAGACTATTCTTCTGTGATGACTTCGACCGAGTTACATCGTGGGCGGGGTACATGTCGTTGATGCGCAAGCGTTACCGGTTGGCGATATGGTTCGTGGAGACGATGGTGGGAGTTTGAGGCTAATTGTCAATGAAAAGACCGCATTATATATTTTGTCATGGCCAGGGGACTGGGAGCATAATTGAGGCTGATTATTAAACCATCGAGTCAACAGCAATCTGATGAGTTCAACGTTGAGTTCAGCTAGAAGACTATGAGGTGAATGCTCACACTGATAGGTGTCCTTGGTGTTCTCAGAAGGGCAACCAGACACATGTCCATCAGGGAGTGGTAGTTTCGTCTCATGGGGTGTTGCAAGAACTGTTAGTTACCTAGGTTCAAGGGGCTAGCCTTTCACTTACTAGTTATCCCTCATGTTGGGGTTTCGTCTGGGATCGGCAGGCGGGAAGGAGTGACTAGGAAACTCAGCATCTGCGATTTGTTCCGGGTTGCTAAAGTAGATCCGAGTTTGGCCGAAGGGTTTGTTTGATCTTTAAGGTAGAACGGGATGCCCTCAAGGGCTTTTGATAGGTGTATGAGATTTCCCTCTTTCGGTGTCCGTTGATATCGTTTAGGATCAGGTCATTGCAGAAGAGAATACGGATGGTAACTTCGACTTGAAAGCATGAGAATCATTGGACTCATGCTGCAGGAAGTGGTGGAGTTACAGAGAGCAACGTTCACAACGCAGGTGTTGAGAGATCTTGTCAATGTCTATGTCAAGGGATCTTGAACACCTCTATCCAGCTGGATGGCTTATGAGAGTTGGGGGTTAGGGGGGAGCGTGACAACTTTTGGTTGA